GTGAAGGAAGGTGCTAGTGTAAAAGAAGGGTGCTAGGAGTGAAGGAAGGGGTGTTAGTGTGAAGGAAGGCAGTAGTAAAGAAGGTTAGTGTGAAGGAAGGGTGCTAGTGAAGAAAGGTTGAGTGTGAAGTGAGAAGTAAAAGATAGTGTGAAAGAAGGTGCTAGTGTGAAAAGAAGAGGGTGCTAGTGCTGAAGGTGCTAGTGTGAGAGAAGGGTGCTAGTGAAATGAAGGCGCTAGCGAAAGAAGGAGTGAAATTAAAAGAAGGGTTAGCTGAGAAGGGTGCCAGTGAAGGAAGGAAAAGAGTAAGCAGGGGAGCGCGAGAAGGGTGCTAGTGTGAAAGAAGGGTGCTAGTGTGAAAGAAGGTGCTAGTGTGAAAGAAGGGTGCTAGTGTGAAAGAAGGGGTGAAAGAAGGGTGCTAGTGTGAAAGCGTGTGAAGAAGGGTGCTAGTGTGTAAAGAAGGGTGCTAGTGTGAAGGAAGGGTGCTAGTGTGAAGGAAGGTGCTAGTGTAAAAAGGGTGCTAGTGTGAAAGAAGGGTGCAAGGAAAGAAGGTGCTAGGTGAAAGTGAAAGAAGGGGTGCTAGTGAAGAAGGTGCTAGTGTGAAGGAAGGGTGCTAGTAAAAGAAGGTGAAAGTAGGAAGAAGAAAGAAGGGGTGCTAGTGAAAGAAGGGAAGCAGGTAAAAGAAGGGTGCTAGTGTGAAGGAAGGTGCTAGTGTGAAGGAAGGTAGTAAAAGAAGGGTGCTAGTGTAAAAGAAGGGGTGCTAGTGTGAAGGAAGGGGTGCTAGTGTGAAGGAAGGGGTGCTAGTGTAAAAGAAGGGGTGCTAGTGTGAAGGAAGGGGTGCTAGTGTGAAGGAAGGGGTGCTAGTGTGAAGGAAGGGGTGCTAGTGTGAAGGAAGGGGTGCTAGTGTAAAGGAAGGGGTGTTTTACTTAGTTGTATACCTTGTCGCCACCATTGTAGTGGAGAAGTAACGGGAAGATTTGCTCTCTTAAGTGGTTGTCCTGGTTGCGTCGGTTCTCACAGCCGTACAGAAATATGTTGTGTTTCCTGGAGTGAGCGTGGAAGTCTCCATACATGACAACACCATGCTCGTCCATTAATCTGTTCATGAGAAAAAGTTGTGTAAATCTAAAAATATTCTCCCCAACACTTCCTTACTATCTTCTATTCTCAGACAAGTTCATAAAGCTTTGTTCATAATTGTGTATGAACAATAAACAAGTACTGTACAATATAGGAGAATAACTTAAATTAGTATGACAAGATTTTGGGATAAGACTGCATGTCTCACCTTCTGACCATGGCCTTGGTGTGCCAGATGGCAGGAAACATCTCCTTCACAACCATCTTATACTGGCGGTTCAGGTCTCGGCCCACCAGAGAGCAGCGGTGGTTGCCTACAATCACACCGTCTGGGTTTAACATTGGTATCACTTTAAAGATGAACTGACAACGTAGCTCCTGAGGAAAGAAATAAATGCACACACATTTTTTTTCTGTGCTGGGGTTGTAATAGCAGGGATTGTAGCTGTCATCTTCCAGTAGGAAAAGTAATAAAAACTCTTTCTTGATGTTGATGATTTATAATATATTACTAAACTAAACAACTAAAATCTTTCACTAAATACTGTACACTAGTTATGAACAAATAAGAGTTAGGAAAAATTAGGCTCCTATTACCTATTTTAAAGACAATCACTCAATACAGCAAACTTAGTTTTAAGACCTGTTCCTTACAAATATCTTTGAGCTATAGTACAGTAAAGCCTCCGATAACAACGGTTCGACCAACAACTTTTCATATTTAAGACCCTGGTTAATTTAGGACCCAATTTTATTTATGTCCTTATTTCAATCGTATTTACGACCAAATTATAATAAAAACAAAATAAAATTACATTTTCATATAAATAATATAAGTAAATCCCGATATGTATTATATATATATATATATATATATATATATAAAATACTGTAACAAAAATGAAGAGCGCCTTGTGCAAAGAAGCTGCCTGGCTAATGAGTGATAATGCGTATCGCCAGTAAACAACAGTCGGAGCTCGGCGGTCCCTTTGTTTTCAAGCATTTGAACAGGAACAGGAGAAAAACTTTCTCAGGCTTCTTACAGCATTTTTGCATCCCTATTCAACATGAGCAAGAGAGCAAGTGATGGTAGTGTTGTTTCAAAAGCTAATAGAAAGAGTACAGCCTGTATAAGCTTAGCTGAGAAACTAGATGTGATAAAACGATATGAAAAAGATGAGAGGTCTGTGGATATTATATGGAGCAAGCAATGAACATATTTTCTGAAGTGGATCCATTAACAGAACAAAGCATTAAAATTTCAATAAGCACAAATGACCTCAACATAAAGATGTATAATGAGATAAGAAAGCAGCTGTGCAAGGTTCTTTAAACAGCTTTATTATTTGAAGGCCTAAACCATCAACTTCAGCTACACCATCAAATTCAGCATCATAAGCAGCTTCAACATCAACTTTAGGTTCAGTAACAGTTTCAGCAACAGCTTTATGGAAAGCTACAGCTTCAGCCAGAGTTGAACCTGATGACTATGTCATCTGAGTAAAAACTCGCACAATATCCATTGGCTGTCCTTATGTTTTAGACTTTACCACCATTGGTGAGTAGAATTTCTGTTTTACATTAGTAAATATTATTTAAAACATATTCATATGTAGAGATATGGCGATATGTTTTCACATGTACGCACTTACTGTTCATATGTTGGCGTTCCCAATCGTCTCGCTTTATTACTTTACCATTAGTGGTTAGCTACTTCTAGTGCTCCATTTATAAACATTAAATAACATTACAGGCGGTCCCCGACTGACGACTGACTCAACTTACATCAATCCGCACTTACGACCTGCTCTGACCTTACGATCGTCGGGACATACGACTGCCGCAGTCGTGACCAAATTTTTTTCAAATGACGAGCTCATTTTCTGTACCGAAACGTTTCCGTCCTCAGCGAGAGCGTGGCGTGGCTCGGGTCACCGCGTGGGTACACTCACTCAGTACAGCTCTTAATTGGTGTTTGGCTATCGTATCCTATACTGATAGCGCTGTGAACTTACGTTATTATCGTATTTAATTGACTCAATTATGACTGGAAAGCGTACAAGTGAGAGTGCTGGTGGTGCTCCAAAGAAAAGGAGACAGGCAATTACTTTTGAGATGAAAATGAAGATAATAATGCAGTATGAGAATGGAAAAACTGTGGCAACAATCTCACGTGACCTAGGTTTCTAGCACTCGACCATATCCACTATTCTGAAGGACAAGGAACGCATTCATAATGTAGTGAAAGGAACAACACCGATAAAGGGAACTATAATTTCGAAGAAAAGACAAGGTCCTATTCACGATATGGAAAAATTATTGGTGATATGGATAGAAGACCAGATACAGAAGTGTGTACCCTTAAGCCTTCTAACCTTACAGGCTAAAGCAAGAAGCCTGTTCCAAAGCCTGAAGGAGCAGGCAGGAGATGAATGTGAGAAAACCTTTACAGCAAGTCATGGGTAGTTTAATAGACTTAAAAAATGCTACAGTCTACAGAATGTTAAGGTGAGTGGAGAGGCAGCTAGTGCTGATGTTGGTGCTGCCGAAGCTTTTAAGGAGGAGTTAGATGATGCGATTGTGGAAGGGAATTATTTGCCTGAGCAAATATTCAATGTGGATGAGACTGGATTATTGTGGAAGAGCATGCCTGAGCAGACGTACATCCACAAAGAGGCGAAAACAATGCCAGGATTCAAGGCATTCAAGGACAAAATTACACTTCTGTTGGGACGGAATGTTGCTGGTGTCAAGTTAAAGCCCTTCATGATCTATCATTCAGAGAACCCCAGGATCTTTAAACATGTCAGCAAGCACACACTGCCAGTGTTTTATCGCAGTAATAAGAAAGCATGAATGACCTTAGCACTGTTTGAGGATTGGTTCATGACTTGTTTCATTCCACGAGCCAAAGAGTATTGTCTGCAACAACGGATTCCATTCAAGATTTTGCTGATTTTGTTTAATGCTCCGGGACACCCACCACACCTGGACGACATGCACCCTGATGTTAAGGTAGTGTACATTCCACCTAACACTACCTCTGTCATCCAACCCATGGATCAAGGTGCTATTGCTGCCTTTAAAGCGTATTATTTACGCACGACCTTCGCTCAGGCTGTTGCTGCTACTGAAGGTGAGAAAACGCTCAGAGAGTTTTGTCATGTATAAAGAACATTAGTGCAGCATGGGATCAGGTTACAAAACATTGTATGAATGGAATATGGAAGAAAATCCTGAAAAGATATGTGAACAGTTTTAGAGGATTTAATGAAAATGAAGTTATTTTGGATATTAGTTACAAGATAGTGGAGTTAGGTAAACAGCTGGGGTTAGAAATTGATAATGAATATGTTGAACAGTTGGTTGAAAGTGTAGCAGAAGAGCTCAGTAACGAGGATCTTATTGAACTAGATGCACAGAAAATTGCAGGGGAAGAAGAGAGAGAAAATGTAGAAGAACCTGCACCCCCCAAAAAGTTTTCAGTGAAACAAATGGCAAAGGCATTTGCTACAATTAATAAAGGAATGCAAATGTTTCATGGCATGGATCAAAATTATGAGCATTATGCCAAAATTGACAGAATGATCCAAGATGCACTTGCTTGCTACAGAGAAATTTATAATGAAAAGAAAAAACAAACTGTGCAGTCCGAATTGGACATCTATTTTAAGAAGTCCCCCAGTGCTGTCTCCTCACGCCCCACCAGTGCTGCCTCTTCACTCCTTCAAGATGATCCAATACCTTCAACGAGCAAGTTTCCACAGTCCATAAACCTGTCTGAAGAAAGCGACATTGATGACCCACCCAGCCCTGTCTCCTCCTCTGCTTCTTCCAGTTAATGTAGTCTCCATGTATAATTAGAAAATTATGGAGGCCCCGTGAGCATTCAGCTGACTACATTAAAGGTAAGTGCTCAGTCACACTGTATCCATTCCTCATTATTTATTACTTTTACTGGACTGTATTTCATTGTAGATTTTATTTTATATATTTTTTATTTTATTTTTATTTTTTTATCTATGTCGAACTTACGACCATTCCGACTTAAAACCTGGATTTGGGTCCCTAACCCCGTCGTAAGTCGGGGAGCACCTGTACTTAAAACATACATACAAGTGCTAAATTTTTTAAAATTAAGTTCACTGCAGCTACAAGCAGGATTTAATTTTCTTGAGTTTCTTATGTAGAACCATCGTCACTCACGAAAACAATGCCGTCTCGTCTCTGCGTGTGTGTTTTAATATTCTACGTATTATTAATGAATTGCACTGTTCATTTCACATATTTAAACATTAATTCAATAAAATACATATTGAGTAATAAACAATAATGAATCTTTTGTACATATTCTTGAGATAAATGACTATGTTTCCTTGAGTGCGCACGTATACATTGGCGTTCTACTATCAGTCACTTTTTCTTTAATATCAGTGGTTACTTCTACTGTATATGAAATAACATTAATTAAAACATACATATTTTTTACATGAATTATACTGCAACAACAACCAGGGTCTCATTTTCTTCAGTTTCAGGTGGATAACTGACATTATGGGTGTAAACACTGACAACAATGCTGTCTCTTATCCTCTTGCGTGTTTTAATATTCTACGTATTATAAATGAATTGTATTGTTCATTTCGCATATAGTATAAAGATTAATTCAATCAAATACATATTCAGTAATAAACAATAATGAATCTTTTGTACATACAGTATTGCCCCGCTTTACACGGTTTCACTTTCCGTGATTTCTCATGATTTCTCATTTACGCGGTACCTTGCCAGAACTGGACTTTCACTTTCCCCGGTGCATCTATTCATATACTACTCATATACACGGTGAAGTATAATTTTTTTTTTTATTTAGCTCATAAAATTCATACAAATTACTCGGCCAGAATATCATTTACATTGCTGGAATTCTTACAATATGATGATCATTTTGAATATAAACATCATGGATTTTGCATTAGACATACAAATTTTAGATCTAATGTAATAATTTGGTTTACACAAAGCAAATATTTTATCTTTTGTGCAAAATATATGAAGTTTACATTCAAAATATTCCCTGACCTGCAAGGAATCCAGAAATGTCAATTATATTATCCTAACTTTAGTCTGAGGTATTATTTATTACTAAACGTTAAAATCTAGTGTTTTCACCCAATCATTTCTCAGAGAGGTAGGGGCCAGTGAGCTGGGAAGAGGGGGGGGGGGATTTGAGTCCATTATTTGAATGGACATTAACCTGGCAACTGTATTTCTCTTAAATATTAATTGTGTGAGCATACCATCATAAAATTAAGATGTTATTTTTACTACAACATAGATATTGTGTCAGAAAAAGTGGAGTTTGGGGGTCGGGCCAG